GATTTGGGGAATGCAGGAGAAAAGGGAATGAAGGAAAACTGTTTCCCCATCAGGAAATAATAGATAAGAAGTGTATAGTAGAAAATATCCAAAGTACATGTCTTTATCTGGAAATACCATGTTAATGAATCTTGTTTTTCAACAATACATCTCAATGTAAAAGATGACCCTAAAATTTTAAGTATTATTAAACTAAAAAGTGTCAGTCAGGCAATCCCTAACACATAAAAATTGTTTCAAAAGTTCATCTATGAAACATAAGGTATGTTTAACATGGTCTTTGAACAAACTTTTCCACCTTACTTCTCCTCACATTATGTGCTTAATAAATTATATGGAGCATGAAATTACTGAATTTCATAAGACTCAATTTTTTAAAAATTATATTCTGATTTTTAAACGATTATCTAGTTAGATAACCTCAGAAAGAGGTCGTAATTATGTCTATTTTGTCTGAAGAGAAGATTCCCTTTAGGATCAGAGATTCTTTTCTTAGATCCTGGATTGTTTCTCAAGAGATGCTGTAGATTTATTTTTGTTGATCCTGACTTTGTTTGTGCAGAGATGCTTGCCTTTTATAAAACATTGTACTATAGAAGAGCAGTTAGTGTCATCACAAGAGGATAATGGGACTGAAAATCAATGACCTGTGTTCATTGAGGTGAAGTAGCTGTGGATTGAGTATATGATACATTACAGGATAAGGACATAGCACCCCAAGTCGAAAGGTGAGAAGGAAAATCCAAGTCAGGGAAACAAGTGTGAGTGCATTCATGGATCTCAATAACTGGATTTTTTTCCTGATGGAGCTGCTTCACGCTGACTCAGAGTCAGACTCATCCTCATCCCAGTTGAGTGAATGATTGATATTGCTGTGGCCAGAAACCATGTGGAGGAGAATATCAGATCTGCTCTGGATATAAACTGAGGAAAATTTTTTTCTATTTTCTTTCTTTTGGGATATTGACTTTCAGATTAATGTGCCCAGGAGGAGAGGTGGTGTTGCTTGTTCTGTGGTGGGCTTGTCTTTGAGAAGCTATACTCAAATAAAACTCAGAGAGTGATTCTCCACTTGCCTTTGGAGAGGTTAATTACTATGGTTTCAGTGAGTGAAGATACAGACTGTTGTGAAGGTTTCCATCATGTGTTGAACTCAAGGTTTCATCACAAGACACTTTCTGTGAGCTTTTCCCACAGCAGGATGGCTCCCTCTCATCCTGTCCTCTTCCTAAGGATAGCCTTGAAACCTCTTTCCCACAACCCATGCCTCAGTACCTCTTTACCACAAAAACATGCTGAATCTGATCTCTTAGAATAAACCAGGTTTCCACTGTCTCCCCTCTCCCTTTCACATGATGATTTTCTCTTTATCCAAGAGTCTTTTCTTCATACACTTAAATCATACCCTCTCTCTTTCTTGTCAACATGCTGTAGGGTCCAATGTGCACCTACATACACCCTAGTCTTGCTCTATGATGACAATCTTTTTGTATTGATGTTATCACTTTTTTCTTATCTCTTTTACAAGAACATAGCACATTGGTTAAAACAAGGTGATCTTTGCATTGTTCACATTGTACCTACAGGTTATAGACCTGGTCCTGACAAGTATGAGGTGTTTAGGAAGTGATGGGGATGGAAAGACCTTTGGGAAGTAGGTTATATTACTCATTCACAGGGGGTGCTATTTTTCTGATTCTGTCCTGATTTTGCATGGTCTTTGGTTCCTAGATGTCAGATTCAGGGTTCTGAATCTGTCATCTAGGAGTTTTTGACCAATATGAAAAAACACAACCTGGAACACATCTTCCTGTCAATGATTATAGCTTTGCAGAATTGAAGATGAAGAAAGATTTTGTAGACTATTTTCTAAGATATCAATCAGAAACCACATTTTTAGCTGCATCAACAGGCTAAATCACTTAATTTGGACCAAGACTGTGTTCTTCACAGCAAAATCCCATTACTAGTCAGACAGTGGGTTTTTTCTCTTTATTTTTTTCAGCAATTTTACTAGTACATAATAGAGGTATAGGGGGTTTATTGTAACCTTTCCATGTATGCCCCAAGTTTGGTTCATTCTTTCCATTAGTCACCTTTTTTCAACTCTCTCTTCTTAAAATGGCATTGACATGTTTCCATTTTCCATATTCATATATTTAGAAAATACAACCATATTCCCCCTCCTTTACCCTCTTCATTTACTCTACCTCTCCCAATAGTATTCCGTGCTCAACATGACTTCTTTTATATTCCTGCCATTCTTCTTTTGTCTGTTCATTTTCATGTGATTTGCCTTGATATTTTATCTGTAATGCACCTGATCCCATCATATTTCAGAATCTCAGTAAGGTTGGGACTGTTTAGTACTTGGAGAAAAGTCAGCACGTTTCATGTGACTACTTCTTTGTGCTCCTGGTCCAAAACATGCATGAACAATCTGTAGCCCAAAATGTTGAGGGAGCTCTTGTTCCTTAACCTGGATGTGAAAATCTTGTGATAATGCCTGAGAACCTAATCCTTTGCCTTACATGAGAATGTGGTTCCCAGTAGACAGCTGCTGCTACCTGAACAAATACCTACTCTCAGCATTGCTGATGATTCCAGTGAGGAGATTGTGGCTGTATGAGCAAGACAATAAGACAATAGAGATGTCTGAGTCACCTCCCACTGGACTCAGGATCACAAGCATCTGGAGAAAAACACCATGCTTCATGTGATTCAATTCATATTCAGAGTAACCCTATCCTTAATTATGCTTTCCTGAAAGCTAGCTTCCATCCATCTGTGCAGTAAATGATAAGATTAGATTAAGAGGAAACCACAATATGTTGTAGAATCCTATATAGCTCTGCATCCTGAGGGCCCACAAATGGGTCTAGGTTCACAATAACCTCTTATCTCTCCAGCATCCAGTGCTGAGCGAGGTGGACATGTGTGTGGCCTGGGGTGTGTTATGATTTCTAAGAACTTGTAAAAAACATTCCCTAGCTCAGCATTTGCAGAAAATTGAGAACTCCAGACCAAGATGTTCTTGACTCCAACAGCATGTAATCAAAAATCCCTGAGAAACAGAACACAGTGCCCCAGCCACCAAAGATCCAGAAACACATGCATGAATTGTTTTCCCCACTCTTCCCTTCTGAATAGGATGGAGGTGAGCAGTGTATAGATGTTGTAAAGCATAACTCATGCCTCTACACACACTGGTTCCACTTGAACTCAACATTCAACACTGAATTGTACAAAGCTTATGTGAGTACAGAGTGAGAACCTTTCTCCATGTGGTATTTTTGGGAGAGAAGGAGTTGACCTAGACATTGTGAGAATCTAGAGGGATTGTGGCTAGGACAGTGAAAAGCAGGCCAAGGACATTGACCATGGTTTCATGTGATCCTTTCCAAGACACACAGGGTCAGCCCCACTTTCTGTTTCAAACCCAGTTCTTAATTTGGAATGTCCTTGTTTACTCTTGACCCTCTCTGGATCTGCTCCCTATGTATCACGGTAAGGGTAACCATGTCATACTGTCCCTTTTATATCACATCTGGCCCTGACTCTATCTTTTCACCTCCTCCATAGAACATGTATTGTGCAGTTCAGTTTGCTTTTTCAGATAATCCTGGAACTCATTCTCCTTGCAGAAGCTGCTGCAGGAAGCCCCAATTACAGAGAGCTGAGCCACTTTACAGGGCAGCTCCACATGGCTTGTTGAATGTTGAACTCCTTTTTTGCTTTTCTGCCAGGGTCTGGCCAAGCTGGAACAATTCTTTTTATAGTTCTGAAACCAAATGTCCTTAAGTATCAAATTTCATTGTCATAATCAATTCTTGGGAGGCATATTCTGATATTGTCCACAAAGTGTAGGATGGATATTTTTTTCAATATCCCCATATGAATTCTGTACCTGTTAAATAATCATCCTCTTTCTCACCTTCCTTAATTTATATCTAGTGTTGTATGGGATTTATAAACTAAATATGACATGGGCACCCTGAGCTTTTAGAGTCTGTCACTTTGTGAGAGCATCAGGGAGCATCTCCCTTAGTGAATTTGCAGGATGCAGTTGAACAGGTCAGAGTATTGTGCTACACTATCCTTCTTCTATCCCTAAAGAAACTATGCTGTATTTCAACATCAGCACAACCTGTAAATAATCAGACTGTGGCAAATTTTGGCATTGCATTAGTGAAGGCAAGAAGGTTGTGTATCAAAGAGTCACATCATTTGTTTTATTTTGTTTTTTGTACTGGAGTTTCAATTCAGGACCTTACATTTGCTAGGCAAGCACTCTATCACTGGAACCATGCCTTCAGACCATTTTTTGTTTTACTTATTTTTCAGACTCGGGCTGGTGTTCAGCCCAAACTGGCCTCAGTATCAATATTTGTATCTATCCCTCTGATGTAGCTGAGAGTGAAGAAGTGCTCCATCAAAACTGATTTGTTTGTTCACATTGGGTTCTAACTAATATTTTTCCTGGGGTGGCCTTGAATTGTGATCCTTCCAGTTGTGGCTTTCTGATCTCCACCTCCCCACTAACTGGGATTGCAGGCATGAGCCACTTTGCCAGCCCATGATTGCCTCCATTGTATACGTCAGTGCTTTACAGATTCAAACTTTTCAGAGGTCCAAGAAATTATATTGATTTCTTAAAGTATTAGAAGAAAAAGGATAGAATTCAATATAGACTGTATTTATCACTGTATTTATGGAGTCAGAAAACATAATTTTAGGATTCATCTGTTATAGCACAAGAGCATTAAGGCAGATGTGCCCATGCATCATTAAGTTCCTGACATTTTGGACTCATTAGACCACTTCAGGCCAGCACAGATGGTTCTCAAAGAAAGTCTTCAACATGAAGTAATCCAGATGTGATAGATGTAGACTGTGTGACGCCATTTATAAATCTTAGGCAATGAAGCAATAAACTGAGAGTGAGTAGTACTTGCTGTATTCACACTATTGTGAGAAAAGAAAGGGTTTTTTTTTCTCACTTCACCATGAGTCTGGAGCACTGTGGGAGCACCAAGGCTGTTATCATAGGACTGACAGTAATAATCAGCCTCATCCTCAGAGTGGAGCCCAGCAATGGTCAGGGTGGCTGAGTTGCCAGACTTGGAGCACAAGAAGTTGCTCCAAGATACCCCAGAGGGTATCTTGCTATCATCACAGATGAGTTTGGGAGATGTTCCTGGGAGCTGTTGGTACCACTGTACATAATAACCACCAATGTTGCTGCTACTTCCAGTGCATAAAATGGAGACTTTCTGTCCAAGGTTTCCAGACACTGAGGGTGTTTGGGTCAACACAGACTGTCTCCAAGAGGCTAGAGGTTGGAAAAAAAAGAGATGCCATTGTAGAATCTAAATGGAGAGAAATAGAAGAATGCCATAGTTTTCCCAGGCCCTTGCTGTCTCTTCTATCTACTTACCTGTGCAGTAAGTAAAGAGAGCAAGGAGAACAGAGGACCAGACCATGGTAAAAGTCTTACACCAGTCCAGTCTTGGTGCCCTACTGCTGAGCAATGTTTCCCTCATGTTTTTCCCTTGCCCTCTTTATACTATGACAGGGAGAGTGTTCACTCATGCAAATACTGCTCTTCCAGTTTTCTGATCACCCCTTGGACCTGATTCAGGCTGCTTTGCCTGAGGATGTCACATGGGCAAGAGTGGTGCTGGATAGTCATAAGGATTGAGGTAGGTCAAAGCTGTGAGCCCTGAGCAGAGGTAGGGTCAGGTGGCTCCTCCTAGCTCTCACCACCCCCAGAATCTACAAATATGAGCCTCAAGTGCCCCCTGGTGTTCAGATCCATGCATAACACCGTGATATATCAAGAAGTCCCTCAGAGATAATCTTGTTTATCCAGTGCACTGTTCATAGCTCCTACCTTAATGCTATGACATGTGAGAGGGTGTTGTGAGTTCCCAATTGCCTCAAATCAGCACACATACTCAGATCAATACTCTTAGAGAATATAGTCACCTTACTGCTCATTGACAGGACTGAAATTTTGTCTGTTGTATAATTTCCTCTCAGATTACTATCAAGAAAAACACAGAGGATATCAGCCAGTTCTCCTGTAACACATAAATTTTCTCTTAACAGTCTTTTCCACTTGGAAAATGAATACTGCATTTTAAAATTGGTCTTTAACCAAGCTTTATGATCATATTATTTTTCTCATAATATGCCAAATGAAAATATCTGTTATACTTAATATTATATAGTAGATAGGATTCACTTTCTTGTTTACAAAACTATAAAAAAAAGATTATAATCTTAACCTTTTATAGCTTATCCACTGAATTGCAGTAGAGCAACTCTTACGGCACATGTATGAATGATGTACAGTGAATTTTCCCTAAGCTCAGAGATTTTTATTGGATATTAGAGGGTTTTCCAATATATAGCACACATTTTCTTTAGTTTACCTTAGTTTCACTAGAGATCCCTTCTATTATGAGAGAAAATGCTGAAGATGAATATTGGAGCTATTAGCTTACTGAGGCTGGAAAACAGATTAGAAACTCAGCGTGGTGTAGTATTTGGAAAAAGGTGTGGCTGTATGAAAGAGATATTACACATTATTGAATAATGAGTGATATCACAGATTAGAAGCTGAGAAGGATATTACACTTTTGTAAATCTTGGCAAGTCCATTCAGGACTGCCAATAGGTGGACTTAAGCCTGATAATACTTAATCGCCATTGGCTATGAGTCAAGTTCTCTCTTTCACAAACTCCCAGCATGATGAGGAGGTGACTGAGACTGCCACTACATGAATAATATCCCAGTGTTGGAGGATCAGTCATCAGAGAACCAGAGATGAAGTGAGTAGTTGTGTTGTGATGAGAGAGAAAGGAAGCACCTTGTGTAGGGTGTAGCCAGTGAAGAGGTGTTTGTGCTGAGTTTTTTGGTTTCATCTTCACCTAAGGAAAGAAGAATTGATAAGTGGCACTGGGAGATGTTGGAGCTGAGCCACTGGTTTACATTCTGAGAGTTCTCATTCCTTCCTTCAAATGGTAATAGGAGGTTTCATGAATATTTTTCTATGTTATTCTCCTCCTGAGCCTATTGACTTTTAAGCAATTTGTCCTAGGTGAGTTCCAGTGTTCCTAGAACTGAGACTGATGTTAGAGATGGCATTTTTGGATAAAGGATATGTTAATCATGTCATATAGTTTATATAGTTGTCTTTAGATGGGAAACATTACTGTGTGTTCCTTTGAGCAAGGTTTTAGACTGTTGTCAACATTTTAATCATAGCAAGGAGATCTAGGTCTGAACCCAGCACCATTGCCAATGAACTCTTCCCCCAGGATGTCAGCTCACTGAGACCCCATCTAGCTCCACAAGCCAGCCATGAACCCTCTTCCTCTTTCTCAGCCTTCAGTGCAGATTTCCCCCAAAAGTCTGCTGAATCTGCCCTATTCAGGTAGCCTAGCTTCTCACACTGCTTTCATCTCCCCTTCTGCTTTGTTCATCTTCAGTGCAGCAGCTGAACTTTCCTTCAAAAACTTAAAACAGATTCTGTCTTTCTTATAAAACCTCCAAAGATTCCTCTGCCCACACTCATTCTGTCCTGACACATCATTTTCTCAATATCAGGTCATTCTCACCTTGGAATCTAGGATTGTTTGATCACAATGAGAAAAATCATCATGTGAGGCTAAAAAGGAGTGTATTTGGGTTCCAATCTGGGGTGGGATGAGGCAGGACACGTTCCCTGTAGTGTGCCCCAAACTCTGACTTTTGATAAAAAAAAATAACTTTATCCGTTATCTTCTCCAAGATATGGGTGCTGCAGAAGAAAGCAAAATCACTGAAAAGCAGGTTTTGTCTGACTTTCTCAGTGTCATTGAACACTGTGTGAGCAAAGATGCTTTCCCAAGTACTGGTGTATTAATCAGCCTATAGCCACAAGATAGTGAGGGAGGCTCTGTTAACTGACCTGGAATATGAAAACTCTAGTCATCTTCCTTCAGGGTCTAGTCCTAGTATGATATGGAGGAAATTGTGTCATTACCAGAAATTTGCTGCTACCAGGGCTCATCCCTATTCCCAGCAATGCTGCTGCTTCCAGTAAAGGAGATTGTGACTCTGCCCCACAGGCCAGTATGCTAAAGATGATTGAGTCAGCACAGACAGAGCCCATAAATGTGAACGTCAGGGGAAAACAGAATTAAAGAGATGATTTAGTTGACAGAAGCATGTTTATTGTAAGCTCTACTTTCATCCTCATAACCAAAACAAGTTTTCAGTCATATATGCAGTGAATAGAAATAAAACAAAGAAGGAATCCCATCACTGGAAGATTCTATATAGCTCTACATCCTGAGGATCCTCACCTGGGACTGAGCTTCCCAAGACTCTCTTTATCACAACACCAGTGAGAGGTCAGGAAGGAGCTCATCATACAAACCAGAATCTAACCTGAATGTAGAAGCTCAGTTATGGGTCTGGAATATGAGACATGCTTGGAAAACTGATTCTGGGAGTGCAAGGTCCCTGGTGATGGGCTGTTTTATATTTTCCAGGATCCTGGGAGAACATACCTTCCAGGCTCAAGTGAGTAAGCAATAGGTGGTTCCAGATGAAAGTCATGTGGTGTCTTTTAGGTGGGATCTGTATCACAGATTCCTAGTGACAGTGCACAGTTGCCTTCCACACAGACATGCACGTTTTAGCTTCTGCACTTTCTACTTTACTTTCATAAAAGAATGGATGTAGCTGGGTGCCAATGAATTATGCCTGTAATCCTAGCTACTCAGGAGACAGAGATCAGGAGAATTGCAGTTCAAAGTCAGCCTAGGCATAAAGGTTTGAGACACCCTATCTCAAATAATGCCTTCACCAAAAAGAGCTTGTGGAGTAGCTCAAGGTGTAAGCCCTGAATTCAAATCCCAGTTCACAAAAAACAAAAAAGAATGGATGTAGGCAATGCCCATGCATAATTTAGCCTCTTGTCTCTACACAACTATATCCTACCTTGACTCACCTGTTCTTCACTGGAGTGTGATATTCCTGTGTGAGCACAGAGTGAGAAGCTGTTTTGGTGTTTTTACAAAGACATTGGGACAAAGGCAGTGACCTAGTCCCACCTCCCCAAGAATCTCAGAAGGAGAAGCTGGGACAGTGAACATGGGCAGAGGACACTGACATGGTCACTCATATTATCTTCCCCATGATTCTCAGGGACAGCTCCAGGCCCATTTACATTCCAGTTCCTAGCACATCATGTCTTTGCTCAAACTATACAACCTGTGTGCTCTGCTGGTATGTTGCAACTTTCAGTCTCCTCTTTATGTTTCCCCCCTATTTTGCTGGGTCCTCTGGCCTTTTCTAAAGATCATTCATTATGCAATTCAAATTGCCTCTTTGCATAATCCTGGTAACTTAGTCGTTCTTTCGATGACTTTACAGAAGGCACACATTGCATGGAACTGAGCTGCTGGGCATGATATCTCTCCCTTGGATCCCCTGAGTGAAATTCCTTTTTGCTTCTCTTCCATTCCTGACCTGGGCCAGGCATGGACAATCCCTTTTAGAGTACTGAACCTTAATATCCTTAAGTATCAAATTTTACTTTCACACAATTACTCAGAGAAAAATTTTGAAATATTACTGAGGATGGCTTACTCATCAGAGATGGTGCCAAAGATAATGGAAGTGGGAAATGTACAAATATATTGATTTGGGGAATTCCCAGGAGAAGAAAGCAGAGCCTCATGTTCTTTCCAGGCCCTACCTGTACTCCATATCTAGGCCCCTGTGCACTAATTAAGGAGCATGATTAACAGAGGGGGATAGGTGGAGGTCAACCCTGAGTCCTGCTTTCTGTGACCCAAATTTGAGAGTATATCCCTTTCCCTCTTCATTCTCTGAGAGTGTGTTTGTCCATTTGTACAAATGAGGTTCCTTAAGCATTTTGCTCACACTCTGGGCCCTGATCAGGTCCCTGTTCCCAAAGATATCACAGTGCTATAGCTATAGAAGGGTGTGGTTGGGTGGGGATAGGGGTAAAGAGATTTATAGTTGTGAGCCCTGAGCACATGGCATCAAGAAGAACCATGTGGCTCATTTCAGCTCTCATCACCTCCAGCACCTTCAATAATGGACTCCATGAGGTGTTAAAGCACAAGCACTTGATCATGCCACATGGTGAGCACAGGCACTCAAGCCAGCCCTGCTTTCCTACTCATATCTAAAGGGACATGGAAGTCTCTCTGTGGTCTCCCTCTTACCTCATGTCTTCATCTTTATGCTGTTCTTATACGGCTCTGATGGGGAATCTCTCTACAACCAACTTTAATGTTTATTGGCCAGGACTCATGAGGTCTCTACTGTGAAAATTTCTCTATGATCAGAATGAAGGTGAGAAACATGAAAGTTTTGTTGTTAATAAACATGAAGGATATCAGCCAGTGTTTCTGAAACTCTGAAATTTATTTTAAAAGCCTTTCAACCTGGAAAATG